TATATATATATATATATATATATATATATATATATATATATATATTTATATATATATGTATGTGTGTGTGTGTGTGTGTGTGTGTGTGTATGTATGTATGTATGTATGCATATTGTATATGTATATATACATATTGTATATGTATACATACATATAAATACATATATATATATATATATATATATATATATATATATATATATATATATGTATGTATGTATGTATGTATATATACATATTGTATATGTATACATACATATTGTATATGTATACATACATATAAATACATATATATATATATATAAAACATAACATACATATGTATTATATAATATATGAATTATACATACATATATGCATATATACATGTGTATGTATATGTATATATATATATATATATATATATATATATATATATATATATATATATATATATATGTACATATACATATCATATATAATATATATGTGTGTGTGTACATATTTCATATATACATATTATATATTGTACATATTGTATATGAATAATATATATCATATACATATAATTAATACATATTTGATATATATATATTATATATTTGATATATATATATATCATATATATAAATATAGATATATAAATAAATATATAAGTATAAGTAAATGTATATATATATATATATATATATATATATATATATATATATATATATATATGTATATATACATTACCCATGCCTGCAAGTTGCAAGATATGATCCAGGCATCGAGCAGTGACGTCATACTTCAAGATGTCCTGTGAGGCCTCAATGCCGTATTCCTCTCGCAGAATTCTGAAAGTGAAATGCAACTAACACAATATTATCGTGGTAAAGGCAACACCATGCAATAATCATAAATGAAATACCCGAGGTACGTGCTCCGTATATGTACAGATTTAAATACATGGATAATGTAGACATGCATACGCGTGTGTATATGTTTATGTATATATATATATATATATATATATATATATATATATATATATATATATATATATATATATATATATATATATTTATATATATATATATATATATATATATATATATATATATATATATATATATATATATATATGTATACATGTATATATATATGTGTGTATATATATATATATATATATATATATATATATATATATATATATATACATATATATATATATGCGTGTATATACATATATGCGTATTTTTTGTGCGTTAGTGTACGTGTGCCTATATCATAAATAAATAAATATATATATATATATATATATATATATATATATATATATATATATATATATATATATATATACGTATATATATATGTATACATGTATAGATACATGTGTATATATATATACATATATTGATACATATATGTATGTATATATATACATATATATATATATATATATATATATATATATATATATATATATATATGTATATATATAAATATATATATATGTATGTATATATATATATATATATATATATATAGGCCTATATATATATATATATATATATATATATATATATATATATATGTATATATATATATATATATATATATATATATATATATATATATATATGCTGTATATATTTTTATATATATTTGTATGTGTGTATGCGAATATAGTAATATATATATATATATATATATATATATATATATATATATATATATATATATATATATATATATATATGTGCTGTATATATTTTTATATATATTTGTATGTGTGTATGCGAATATAGTGATATATATATATATATATATATATATATATATATATATATATATATATATATATATATGTATATATATATGTATGTATATATATATATAATATATATATATATATATATATATATATATATATATATATATATATTCATATGCACATATATATGTATGTGTTCGTGGCATTTTATTCCCCATTATCAGATTCACAAAGATAGTTGCATTGATACACAAAGAAAATTCAGACACGTGAGCAATAACTTTCTACAAGCTCGTAAAGTAAAAACAAAAGCAGCTTCACTTCACTTCAGATGATCTCACTGAACATCCGCCATCCAAGCCGTGTTCCTTCCTTCAGCGCGATGCAAGGAATAATAAGAAAAAGAAGATAAAAAAAAGAGAACGGTCCATGACCTGAAGACTTTATATAATTTCGGTTCAGGTGAAATCGGTGAGGGACGATATTGTGATCCGGATAAGTACTGTGGGTATAATAACTACTTAGTCTTATTACACAGTAATTAACATAACATACCTACATAGCTAAATAGCAGCGAATATAAGGACATATCTATTTAACCTTGTCATATAACAGTGCATATAACAATCTACCTAGATGGCCCTGTCAGTCATGTAAATACTAAGTACATAACCCAGACATAAGCACTGAATATATAAATAAACCTACATACTCCCGTCATAGAATAGTGAATATAATAACATACCTACATGGTCCTTCCATGCAACAGAGAATATAGCAACATATATCAGAGTCCGAACTGTGATAAAAATAAAGTTGATGACTGCAACAACTTACCCGCGTGGCCCTGGCGTCCAGAGAATAAAATCTGCTTCACGGTGCCCTAATAAACACAAACGGAGGAGATCGGTTTCCCTTCCCGGCGCAAAAGGTAAATGTGACAAGGTAAGTGATGAATTAGCAGCCTCTACAGCAGCCATGCTTGTAAATACTGCAGACGACGCTGGAGGGGTCTGTTCGATCCTCTCACCCAAATGCATACTATCGGCTTACCTGCCACGATCCATCTCAATTTCGCCTGTCGTTTCTCTCTCCTACTGACAATGGCGAAAGGGAAATATTTTTCGGATATTGGGGCGCACTTTCTGTCGCTTCACTACGGTACCGCTCTTGATTCTCCTGTGTTAGTATCTTCCTTAGGGAATCCGTACTTAAGGGGAACGAGGACAGGATTTAGATATAATCGTAGGGCGTATATAATAAGCACAGGGGTTCTTTTGGATCTATCGTGGTTGTATCACTTTCGAAATGACAGAAAAAAAACATCTCCCAAAATGAATCGCATCTTCTACTTCATTACACTGATATTGGTTTCTCATGGCTTTTGATGTAATGTTTGATGTGGATCTTGCTGCAGTGCCTAAATTATTCTACCTTAATTAACAACGCATTTCCTTGGAGGACTGATTCTGTCCTTGCAATACAAACTAAATCACTGCTAGGCTCATAAATGTTTTGCAATATCTATTTTCATTTCCAAAGACGGGTGTACTGGTGGCTCGTAGCGGGGATGAAGGCAAAAGACGCAAGAGTAGATAACAAGAGAAGATAACTCTTGCTACCATGCCAAAGAAAAAATAAGAAAGAAAATAGAAATTGTTTATCTAATTCAAGGCCAGCATTCGAAACTCTCATGATTGTTTGTGTCTCAAACGCCCCGAAACGTCTCATGGGCCTTCCATGAATGGATTATTTTTAATCAATTATGCTCCCCCCCCCCCCATTTGAAAGGAAGTGAATTCAGGAGAATCCAGAGCAGATATTATGGTGCTAGTGTGAATATTAATCGATACGTCATATCCATGGTATATTCTTTCAGATTCTGGAGAATGGGCTCTTACTATTGTACCTTGTATTTTGTGTCTAATAAACAAACATTTGATAATGATAGCACTATACTTTGGGAGCAAATATAACATGCCAGCCAAATCCATTACATATATCACACAAAACTGACATCAGTATCTGGTCTATTGAAAAGTTACGCTTCCGTTATCATATCAACACGGAATTGCGCGTCTCGTGTGAATAATACATCGCCATGTATATATAAATCTTGAAATAAAGAGAGAGAAAAAAACAGCCATTAACTGAACAAGATCAGGTAAATGATAACAGAGGAGATTAACTTGATATCACAGCAATCTAATCAACAATCAAGAGTAATCATCTCAAACGAGGTGTTTCATCATTATACGTAAACCGAGAACTCCTTCCATGGCCTTTGTATAAAACATGATAACTCTTAATACTTGTGCATGATGAATTTCCTGGCTCAGTGAATAATGCTCACGGGGGAATGATATAGTCTGAGGATTATTGAGGATAATCAGGTTGTCAGTTTATAATGCATGTGTAAGTAGAGTTACGGTAATATATAGTTCATGTAGTTCCCTTCAACAAAGAAAAAAAGCATCGGATTCTGACGAAGTTTTATATTGACTTTTTTTCTAGTTTTTGTTGTCTTTGTTTGATTGTTTGTATGCAGTAATGAAACCCCAGATAAGTGCAAATATTTTTGAAGCAATAGTGACTTACGAGGAAATACTAGTTGATGATCAGGTTAGCCGATGAGGATACTTGTGTAAGTAAAGATAACATGGACTTCTTATCCCATCTCGAAAAAAAATTAAATGACCACATCAACTTAAAATTTGTGATCTGTATTAATTAAATTTCATATCTTATTATTAGTTTTCGTACCTCATTGCTGTAATGTTTGGGATTCACCAAGGCATTATGTTAATAATGTTAAACATATGTCATTCTTCAAAAAAAAATACTTCTAACAATATATTTAAAAGCAAAATGTTAGAGAAAAATGGTGAATACAGCATATTTCGAAAACACGGACCATATATATAACTACTCGGTTAATAAATACGAAAGCACATCTAACGCGCAGCAACACTTGTGAAACTGCCTTTGCATATAAATAACTACAAGGTTAATAGATATGAAAGAACATCTAAGAGGCAGCAACACATGTTAAACCGCATTTGCCAATGTTCCTCCTTAATCCTATCCCCTCAACTGACGTATCAGTATAACCTTCAAAAGAATAGTAATAAATTTCCACCAACGAGGCAGTAAACGATAAGGGTAATGAGTCACATATTCCACGAAGCAAGTCCAATTTAAAGAATAACACCTGTGACTCTTGTGAAGGTCACAGACGCTCATACAGATGCCGTCACCCACA